CCTAAATCTTTAAAGGATAAAGTGCTTTTGAGGCTGGCTTCTCTTTTCCAAGAAAATTACCAAATAAGAAAATTTTTAGGAAAAAGGGAATCAGCGGAAAGAGTTTTTGTTTTGAAAAAGTTATACGCGTTTATATTATATAAATAATATTTCAAAATTTTTTGCACCATATTGTATATCTAAATTCACTTTTTCAAGAAAATTATTATAAAAGAAAATTTTTTGAAAAAATGAAAATTTACAGAAAGAAAAAGAATTCTATAAAATAATACAGTATATCATACAGTATATTTATTATCTAGAATAATGAGTTGCATTTCTATATTTTATAAAACAATAAATTATATATTCATTTTATAGAATAACAGATGGACCTGTGGATCCATAGCATAGTGGTAACACTCCCAGGTCACCAAGTACTGTTTCCGAGTTCAATACCACTGCGAGGTAGTACCACCTAAGCCTAGGTGATACAAGAAGATCCCATTCGCCCCATGATTATGATCTAATCACCTTTGGCCAAGACCCCGTCCGATCACGTGGTATCCAAAGATCACAAGATACTTCAGCCGGTTTTAGTGCTGAAGTCACCTCGTCAAAAAGACAGGTTTTTACAAGCTCCTGCAGATGGGTTGAAGATCTGCATGCCGTAAAATCAAGGAAGCTAGTGGAGCCTAGGTACGTTAGCTAGAAGAAAGTCTCTACCAAAATCGACATCCATCCAAGACTTCACATGGTCACTCCGTAGGCAGGCTGTAATAGGTCATGTAAAAAGAGTGCTCCGGTGGAACGAGATGACATCTAAGACTCCACGTGGGTATTCCGTAGGCATACTGTAATAAGTAATGTAAAAAGAATATTCAGCGGGATGAGATATGAAAGGGGTCCTGTGTTACAGACCCCGAACCTGTAGATATGAGGGTCAGGGAAGGGTAACATAGACGTAGGTAGTGGGGTAGTAGGGCTTCTTCTGGCAACAAGCCATGGGGGTACACAAGGTGTTACAATCAGGTTTATAGATATAATGGTGGGGTGGACTAAGATGCATAGGTTAGCACATAAGTCTGACTATAGAATTGCTTTGTAATTAGCGGCTATATCATATGTAGGGGCCGTCCTATCGACTTCAATAAACTGGGCTTCGTTATCCTTTAAAAAAAAAAAAAAAAAATAGAATAACAGATTATTAAAGATAATAAATTATATATTTGTTTTATAAATAATAGATAAAGGTTAAATTTTAAAAACCTGTATACTGTAATACAATACTTTACTAAATCATGTCTTTAAGTATTAAGGTATTTGTGTTTGTTAACTACGATTAGATAGATGGTGAAGAAATGGTATAATTATATTATGTATTTGAACAAAACCACAATTATCAATCAAATTGTGAGGCAAACACGATCTATGCATTATACACTTTGAGTTTTGTGAACATGCCATTCGAATGACTTGAGTTTTGTGACCAACAAGTCATTCAAATGACTTTTTACATATCGCTCAGGTGATGACGCCAAACGCGGTCTACACGTCAACCTAAAAGCAAAATGCACGCATACAGTATATCTCGACGGTTCTCGAGCGACGATACAAATGCGACTTATATAGCGCCCGATCTGTTGACTCAGGTATAATGAGCAAAAAGTAAAATGCCAAGACTATCGTATAATGAAAATAATAATAATATTTTATTGTTTTTTTTCAAACCAAAAAAAAGGTTGGATGTCTTTCAAATACAGTATTAATTAAATATCAATTATAAACTATAAAGGTTTATTTTTTTTGTTTTAAAATATATTCATATGCTCGAGAATTTAAAACGAAATGTCAACTAGTTATATAGGAATTTTATGAATAAGAGTCTCGGTTTTGTAATCGTAAAATATATGATTGTTATATGGCACAGTTTGAATCTAATTTTTTGTGTTTAAAATTACCTAGCATCCTCAACAGATAACTCTTGCATAAACATTTTTACTATAATACAAGAAGTGCTCGAAAAGGATGAATAGCAAAGTTCAATAAATTAATTATTTTTATTTGTTCTGAATAACTTTTTTAATTTATCTACATGTAATATAATGAGGTGTGGGCAAATTAAACCCATAATACTTCTTTTCGCATCAAAGATCTCAAATATATACGAACGTTCCATTATCCGATATTTTATTCACACATAAGTGTGATACGCGAACGTCACAACGGCTATCGTCAAATAAACGAAGAAATATAAACTCCTGGAACGCAGTAGAAAGCGAAGAAGGAATAAATAAAACGTGGTTTTGCAAATCTAGGTTATACTGTATAACAAGAATTACTTACGAGTTGTTTTGTGACCGTGGCTTTATCTTGGGTCTTTCCACAGATGGTACTTTACCAACCTCGTTCCACCTCAGTACTGAGTGATGCTCCTCTTTTAGTGGGAGATGTTTGCCGGTTGGTGATATAACTGAATATGTGCTTTCTTTGAAATCTTGATCGGATACTATAGAGGCGGCGGTCTGATTTGTTGCACTATCAATCACTTTTTTGATGAATTCTCCAGAATTCTTGAATGCTATTTTGGCGGGTGTGCTGTATTCAAATGCCTTTGGTATTTGGAACAAAAAAAGTATTTGAATTCGTTATTTGAGCAGGGAACTCAAACCACCATCGTGGGAGACTAACCTGGAACACATGCGGCATTTCTTGGTAAATTTCTAATGTAACGTTTGTTGGCGTCTTGAACGGTGATTTTCTAAAATTTTCAGCATTATATAAAGGTAAATTATATTTCTCTGGCTGACTGGCTTTAAATGAAAAATATATTATTTCGTCTCGGATTCTTTCGCCATCACCAGTTTGCTAATCAGGAAGCATGTAAGTTGATATTTTCACCAGGTAATTATTTAGCAAAAATGTAAGATGGCACTTACTATCAACATGGGTGGCAATCCCGCCAAACTCGCAGCACACATCGGACTTACGTAAGGCACTGATAACGCCTCGTTAGGCACATATAATTGCACTCGCTCGCTACGATTAAATGAATCATCCCAAAACTGAGGTTTATTTTCTTTTTTAATGCGTCTTGACAAGGCATCTGATTTACGATGGAAGTCATCTAAGGCAGGGGAGGATTTTTGAGTAAAGAAGCTGCTAGGAAGGTAGTCGGTGTTAGCGAAAAGTGGGTTTAGGAGTGAGGGCATACTGTGAGTTAGGTCTACCCATGGGGACTGGAAGTGCGAGAAAATTTTCAAGGTCAGACGCCTATACGAGAAATCTATTTAGACTTAAAATAAACTGAATACCAACCCAACCAACCAATCCAGCGACCATTGGTAATCCGGCATCCCTAATTGCTAATCCTAGAGCCATAGCCAAACCACCGCCTGCACTATCACCCATTATGACAATTTGTTTAGGATCTATTACTTCGAAATTGGCGTTTTCAGGTGGATTTGTGAGATAGAGATAGGCGGCCAAAGCATCGTGTAGGGCGGCTGGAAATTGATGTTGAGGCGCTAGTCGGTAGTTTATTACTTTTTTTTTTTTTAGATAAAATGAGAACATAAAAGTATTTTTTAAGCAATTATTCTGACCACAGGCCCACGACAATTATAGAGAATTTGTTGCGTATACTTACCAAAAACCAAAGCATCAGCTTCACTTGCGATTTTCGTGGTGATAGCTCTATGAGAATCTGCGTTACACAATAAATAGGCACCACCGTGTAGATAAAGGATTACCCTCTTATTATTCGCTTTCTTCTGGAATTCCTGTTCTCTTGGATAAACCCATTTCGCCTTCAACCACCTTTTATTTCCTGCAGCATCATCTTTTCCCCTTCTCCGATCCGTCTCGTTTTCTTCTTCCAATTCTTTCCATTCACCATCCAGCACGTGCTCGTACTCATTCAAAATCTTTTCCAAAAAAGGTTGAGCTAGTTTTCTATACTTATTAGAAATTACTACCTCGTCCTCGTTAAAATTCGCAGGTAATGGGGGACCAATACATGAAAATTGTTGAACTCCTTCTATCGTGTAATTTGTAACATCTTCTAAGAAAGATCTTATTATGGAAAACGTTAGATGAAACCGAAGATCCCAAGATGGTTGTGGAGGACCCTTTATGTAATGATTAATAGTAGTAGAAACAAGCACGTTTGTTTTCGGAACTAATAGCTTTAAGGCATCCATCTCTTGTTTTAAAATGCAAAAGTTTATGAATAGATTCTATTTAATAAAGGGGCCGATGTTAAAATTGAATTTATTTCAATAATTTAATCACGCAATTACAACATATAAATACTGTAAGTTTTGAGAGTTTCGAGTAAACACCGAGGTTTTTATAATAGTTTCATGGTAAACATTTCTTACGCTAGACATGACGGCATCTTTTTTTTTTTTTCTAGGACACGTCTTTCGCACTAAACATGGCATGGTAACACATTTGTGTCGATGCAGGGCCCCCGAAATCACACAGATCCTGAGATTAACAAAGAACGAATAAAACAATAGAGAAACTTGGTGTACATATAAATAATGGTAAGGGAAAACCTATTTCCAATTATGAAATAATGGTAAGGGATAAACTACTTCCAATTAAATAAAATTAACAATGCATTGAAAACTAAGGTCTGTATCGGTGAACCATTATTTGAAAATTTTAACGTCACGTTGCCAAAAACAACGGCATTTCAGGGGACTATCAAATTCATTCACATGGTTTAAAACTAAGTCCTTAACCTTAAATCTCATGCACAATTAATGCAATTCATATGAATTGCATATTACTGATTATCGACGAGGGAACGATCATTACTTTGTATGTCATGAATAAATGTCGCTAGAAAAGTTATGCCGGCGGAAGATATTGTTCATTTAATCTATATTTGGGTAGACTGCAAAGGAATCTATCTGCATTACAATCTTTCAGAAAAAAAAATTACCCATGCAGTATATTGTATATCATTATATTGTATATATGCTTGTTTGTTAATTTTTTTTTGATGCAGGTTCCACGATAAACTCGTGATAAACCCTAGTGGTCAACTTTGCGGAATATGTAACATGTGTAACTAAGTCGACCGTTAAGATTCAATCGCTCACCATATATGAGAGAAGTGCCATCCCTCAATCTTTGAAAACCCTTAAACATGTCGATACGAGTAACTCGATTAGGTTCGGAGAATCGCATCTTTATGGATTGTGATTGGTATCACTGATAATTTCATGTCGCGTACTAAGGAATCCTGGTCACGATGCAGGGCGGTTCTATACAAAATCGTTCACAGATGTGCAAAAAAGGTTACCTGACCGGTTTTGAGTCGGTGGAACTAACCTTAACATCACGCAATATGAAGGCTTGCACGAACGAAAAAAATTTTTTTTTTTTTTTTAAAAAGCGTTAGCATTCTCCGAATATTTATTAATCATAACAAAAGACACGTGTTTATTCAATTTTCTTTTCATAGTAATTGTATAAGGTTTTAATTGCCAAATTCTTTTTTATTCCTGTCACTTAACATCATATTATTTCAGCAATAAAGTGGCAATCAAAAATTTGGTAATCAAAAAATTTGGCAATCAAAAATTTATCAATTAAAAGTTTAACAATAAATTGTCAAAAATTTATAAGAAATTTGTTTTTTAATTAATTGGTTCAATAATAAATTTACTTAATTTATTTTATACATAAACTTAATATTTTTGCTTATATATTAAATATATTTTTTAAAAATATAAAAATAGTATACAGTATATAGTTGCTTTCAAAAGTCTGGATTCATAAACTAAATTTCAACTTAGATGATTTTATGTCTTTATTTATACAATCAAAAATTATAAATTTTACATATCATATGTTACACCTTAGTGCCTATTTTATTTTTCACTTTTTTTTTTAAAAAAAATAAATTTTAAAGTTTATTTTTGTTAAAAAATTTAATTCCTTTATGGTTATTTTACATGTTCTTTATGAAGAGCTTCATAAGTATCCAAAGTAAATCCATTAATTACTCCATACTTTCGAATAGATAGAACTATGTGATATATTCATGAATGTAATTTTGGAAGTTTCAATTGTAAAACAGAAAATCCTTTAAATGTTTTTATAAATTTTTTCACCCAAAAATTTATAGATTCCTATTATAATATATGTTTTAGATATTTATAATATAATTATATAAACAAATGTTGCATACCTCAA